CGGGTACTAGGTCTTGTGAAAGAAGAGCTAAATATGTTCTGACCTTCACTGTAGTATTTAACTTGATTTGTGAAATTTCTTTGTTGACAGGTCAAAGAAATTCATTGATCCAATTTATCAGATATGGGAAGACATAAGTGCAGACGAGCTTCAGGAGTTTAAGAAACCCATTAACAAGGTAAATTTGTGATTCGACATGCTTTTTGGGGATCTCCTGTGTGGTTGCAGATCACAGTCAAATAGTAAATAGGAATGTTACACTGAAAAATAGGATATTTTGGCCAGCCGGTGTTGCTCAGTGGTTGAGTGTCAACCCATGAGCCAGAAGCACAAACCCAGTCAGGACACATGCCCGGGTTGCGGTCTCAGTGCCTGGTGGGGGGCATGCGGGAGGTGGCCAATCGATGATTCTCTCTCATCATTGATGTTGCTATCTCTCCCTCTACCTTCCTCTCTCTGAAATCAATAAAAACTTTTTTTTTTTTTTTTAAATAGGACATTTTATTCTGCCTTTGCAAAATTCCAAGCTCAGGATATGTTCTTATGAAAAGAGTTTTTGATGAATTATTTAAACCAAACACTTCACACAGTGACTTTGGGGAGTGAAGGTTAATTAAAAATTAATAAATTTAGATCTTTACCACTTGATCATTACCACCAAGTAACAATGGCAAATATACTATGTTAATATTATAAGTAACACTCTTAATTGTGTAGAGGTTAACATTAATTTTGTAGCTCTTTGTAATTGGTAAAGATTCAGGCCTGCAGCATACCTTCCAGTGTATGTCAGATGGAAGTGAGGGAGGGAGAAAATTAGAATTCAATAATAAATAATGTCACTGTTCTTTTTTTGTGTAGCAAATTTATTTCCCCACTAATGGTCAACTTTATGTGCCTGTCTCATAAGGAATCATTGGAAAGCTCATTTTATTATTTTTCCTCATATTTTGTGTTTGAGACCTCCATTCATTCATTCACATTGTGTTAGATACAAAAGTGGTAATAGTGAGCAAGAATGACATGTTACCTGCCCTCATTGAGCTTAAAATCTGTTAAAAAAATCTGACTTTAAACAAATAGTGACAGCATGTGCTGAGCAATTGAGAAGTGTACATCAGAGGAAGATTTTTTTTTTTTTGTTAATCCTTGCCTGAGGATATTTTTCCATTGATTTTAGAGAGAATGGAAGAGAGGGAAAAACAGAGACACATCGATGTGAGAGAAACACATTGATTGGTTGTCTCCTGCATGTGCCCTGACCAGGCCCAGGCCAGAGAGGAGCCTGCAACTAAGATGCATGCCCTTGACCAGAATCGAACCAGGGACCTTTCACTGATGCTCTGTCCACTGGGCCAGACTGGCCAGGGTCAGAGGAAGCTTTTGAATTACGATGTTTTCTTTACCTTCCCAGAAGTAGCACATTCCTGAGGAAAGGAATTCTTGGAAGCTATTCAAACCACTTGCGATCTTATTGATAATCTCTGTTCTCCTGACAGGAGGTGGTGGAAGATGAAGATGATGACTTTTTGAAAGGCGAAGTTGGGATTACACCGAGCTCCTTTGACACGCATTTCCGAAGTCCTTCAAGTAGTGTGGGCTCCCCACCGGTGTTGTACCTGCCAGACCAGTCCCCTTTGATTGCAAGGATTTGCGATTGAGATGAACGTGCCTCCCCATCCTGCCCTTCAATACCAGGGCTCATACTGTTTGAGCTTCACATCAAACTAGAGCATAGAGTACCTGCCTCCGGCAGCTTATTTCAAGTTAGACTTACTCTAGTGTCTGAACAGACATGGTTTTTTTTCTTTTTGCTCCCATATAGACAAAGGAAAAGACTGAATATCACGTGCAATATTTTATAATGGAGTTGATAAGTGTTCACGGCTTGGCTTGTTTGTTTAATGTATACGTTTTTTGTGTGTTACAGCTTTTTGACATAATTATTGTGCCTGTTTTAACAGATTGCATTTTAAAACATAGGTTTTGGTCAGAGCCATACTCATAGGATTTTGCTGATCAGTGAAAATCCTCTAGAACACTATTTATAGTCTTCAGAAAGAGTTTATTTTGGATACATTGTTTACCTCTGCTGTAACTGTTTGTGTGTCCGGGTTCAGTGGGGTGCAGAGAAGGTGGTAGGACAGTGGGGAGATGGCCAGGGCTGGTCCCAAATGCTGAGAGAGGGAGATCTCCAGGGGCTTCAGAGACCAATAAAAGCCTGGAGGGAAGAGCTAGGGGATTTAGGGAAATAGAATCAGCCAAATCATATACATGTGAGTGTAAAAATGGATTTAAAAGAAAAATGGGAGTTCCAGGTAAAAGTAATTCACATTGACTGAAAGTGGAGGTTGGACTTTTATAAAACAGCAAGCAAAGAGTTTACCCTGAAGCTCCCAAGAGTACTGTTTGAACTGGAATGACTCGTTTGTAGTGGAATATTAACATGGATTTTTGTATTATTACCAGTATCAGTAGACCAGTTCTCATTTTGAAAATTTCTTGGGGAGGGTGGGGTATACTTTAGGTTATTTGTGGGGTGATTTTGCTAGGAACAGTTGGCCAAGGTTACATATATATACTCTTTTCAACTGGCTATTTGTATCATGGATTCAGCTCAGTGAAATCCTCCTCTGTCTTTTTTTTTTTTTTTTTTTTATAACTAAACACAGAAGAATCTAAACAACCTTGCTTTGTAGCAAATTTGTGCGGGCACTGCTAGATTCATTTTGAAGCTCATGCATATTTAGCTTCATTACTTATTTGTGTACTTTTTTTGTTACTTGTGAAAATGTACATCTTTAAACTTATTTATTTTTCTGCCACTTTTCCTATTTTTTATTTAAAGGCAAGTAATATTTTCTTGATCACAAATATTTTGTAATGAAATGCTTTCTCTTTCCTAGAGCTTTATATGCTCTTGTATAATTCTATTAATGGCGATGTAGAGTTTGAATTTCAGTCTGTAAATATGCTTTGGAACAGAGAAATTTTTATTGCTTTAAAAAGTTTTGGGTATTGGTGACTTTCCTTTGGTGACTTGGTAGAAAGTCATTTGAGTACCTTTAGGTTCTCTTTTTTAACTGCTGACAAAAAGGTGGGATTTTTGTATACTGGACAAAATGAGAAAATGAAATGTGTCCATAGAAATAATGGTAAGTGGAGTCTTTGTGGTTTGGGAAGTAGCTTTAATGTAGAGGGATATATTTATGAGTAAGTGTAATATCAAAGGAGCTTGAGAAAAAAAACCCATTGTGACAATAAAACAATGACATGGTTAATCTGGAACTCCTGTTCTTATGTCAGTAAAGGGAGGTACCTCAAGAAAGAGGCTTCCTACATAAATGTTCTTTTAATTTTTTTTCTTACTGATCTACTGTATTTAAACATCGTTTTTCAATATAAAATTGCATCTGAAACTTGATTAAAATGGCAAAAATATTGCCAGTGTGATTGGGAGTGCTCAAAAATAAAGTGCATGTTGGTGATGAGATGCACTTCCAGATGCATCTGAAGTGTCAGTGATACCCCTTGATCACAACCAGCCAACAATGACTGAGGCTTGAACTGGTCCAAGGAAGACGAACACACTTTTTCAAAAAATGCACATGCTTTGAAGGAATATATCTGGTGAAAAAATAATTGTGAAATCTCTTGGAAAGTGTATGAGAACAAGGGATTTTCTGTTCTTCTTACTGAAAAGAAGACATATATATCCTATATAATAAAGAGCTAATTAGACCTGACGTGTGCGTGGGTGGGGGTCGGGGGAGGAGGGTAGTGCTGACGACCTTCCCTAATGACCAGTGGGTGGGGGCGCGGGGCATGAAGGCCTACTCTTGCACAAATTTCATGCATCGGGCCTCTAGTATATACTAGTATATACTGATTTCAGAGAGGGAGAAAGAGAAACATAAATGATGAAAATCATTGATTGCCTCCCTATGACTCCTACTGGGGATCAGAATCCCGACCTCCATAGGACTATGCTCAACCACAGCCCCACCTGCGGGATGCAAAACAGACTTTCAGTTGGTGGAGAACCAGGGTCCATCCCTTTGTGTGTCTGCTTGGTCAGTAGCTTCTCTTCCTAACCAAGTGTGTGACACACTCTTCAAAGCTCTAATTTTATTGAACTGTAAAGTGAAAACAAACCTATTCTATGGTTGTGAGGATTCAGTGGAAATGCATGTGAAGTCAATAGCTGTTTGGCTACCTTGTGAGGAAGACTAAAGAAGGAAGCTCTTCCATGAAAAAATCTTTTCAAGACAAAGATGACTTCCACTTGACCCATGTTACTTCCTTGATACCAATTTAAGAGATCCCCAACCTGACACTGATTATGGTGGTTCTTGGCCCTTGGGAGTTTAGGAAAACTAAAAGGAGGTGGAATATAAAATGATTACATTTTAGTAGTTTTGCTCTTCGTGGGATGGCTCCTCTCATCTCACCACTGTCTTTTTAAAAAATTGATGTACTGTGGGATTGGATCTATTTGAGTGATACAGTATTTCCAAGTTTTAGGATAGAGAGCCCCAGCCCTGCACCAGGGTACCTACCTATCCTCAGTAGGGACTGCATGGTATCTTGCTGATCTTTAACTCCCATCTCTGAGTGCCTACTGGATGCCAAGAGTGAACCGATGATTTCTAAATGTGGGGCTAGCAAAGTTTAGGCTCTATTTTCCCAGTTTAAGACGTGTGCGTTTATTCACTGAATACTATCTGGGACTTGCTCAAGATCACGCACGATTAGATGTGGTAGGGCCGTGTTGTGAACCCAAGCAGAGAGCCCCCAGACCCCGCACTCAGGCCAGGTTACCGGATCTGGGAACTGAGCTAGGCTCTCTGCAAGCAAAGGCTCTCAAGTTGGGCGCCGCTCCCCTCCCTCGGTCCCCACGCTTTCAGGACTACATTTCCCAGCGGCCCTTGCGGAGGAGGCTGGCCTCACCCCTCTTCCTCGCGATTAGATTACGCTTCCCAAGGGGCATTGCGGCCCCGCCCTAGATTTCCTCACTCTCCTGGGTCTGTGCGGTCTCTTCGGACTCCACTTCCCGGCGGCGCCCGCGGCGGCGCGGGGCTTCGCGGGGGCACCCTCAGGCGGCGGCGGCGGCGGTGGCAGCCCGCGGCGGGGGTGGCCGACGCCTCCCTGGGCCAGCCGGGCCGCCGTCCCCACGATGCCGCTGCTGGTTGACGGGCGGCGAGTGCAGCTGCCGCAGTCCGCCGGGGACCTCGTCCGAGCCCACCCGCTGCTGGAGGTGAGCAGGGCCCGGGCGGGGGGCTTCCAGCGGACCGAGCCCTCCTCACCCCGCCGCCGCCACCCGCTCCGCCCGAAACAGACTTAAACTTGGCGCAGCTGAGGCGCTGCTGGCGGCTCACCCGGCCGCTGGCAGCGACCTTCCGCCTGCGCTGGAGGCATCTGTGGAGCGTTTGCCTTTGGACCTTAGAGGGCATCTGCTGAGGCCCCTTGTCCCTAGGGGAGGGGACGGGGCCCAGAGAGGGTAGGGGACTTGCCCGGAGTCGCACAGCACCGCGGCTTGAGGACCCCCCCGGGACCCCTGTTCCCAGACAGGGCTGTCCGCACCCCCGAGCCGGACTTGGCCCTTCAGGAGAACCTGGGCGGCCGCCCTTGCTCACGAGCACTCGCGGGGATCCTCACCCCGCGTGAACGCCGCCTCGTGTTGGGTCCTCAGGAAGCGGTCGGTGATGCCCGGGTGGGCTGGGGACAGCGTCTGGGCAGGGGTGCCCGGCGGGCCCCTCCACCGGGGCACCGGGCTCCAGTTATCTGTAGCCGGAAGGAAGGGCCCCCCGCTTTGCTTTCCCACAGCTGGGCCGCGGTGAGGACCACGCCCTGATGGCAGGGTTTGGTTTTGTTTTCCTGCTTTTGTCCTCAAATACATCTCTGAAACCTTAGTCCAAGTTTATGCAGAAAAAGGGTTTTTTTTTTACTGTTAAAAAAGATTGGGGACCACACCTCACACTCGCCCCAGTTAAGGGGGAATGACCTCCATCTACACATTGGGCGCTGCCCGGTGTTCGCCTCTTTCCCTGCATCCAGGACATTGACCGTGGAGTTAGGGAGGGGGTGGCTTTTCATCACCGAGTCACCCGGACCGTAACCTAAGTGCCAAGGAGAAAGATGCCCCCTTCCCGCCGGAGGCGGAGGCGCAGAAGCCTGCGCTGCCCGGGGGCTGAGGGAGGGCGGTGCTCCTGAGAGCTCCTCTGCAGCAGCTGTACAGCTGGTATGGCTTTGTCTGCTTACTGCTTTTGTTTATTCCCCTGAATCTGCCCCCAGACTAAGCTCCCGCCAGTGTTTGTTACAGAAATGAGCCAGCAGCCCAGCAGGGGTGGCTGAGCGGCTGAGCGTGGACCTGGGAACAGGAGGTCCGGGTTGGATTCAGGTCAGGGCACAGGCCGGGCTCTCGGCGTGGTCCCCGGGAGGGGGCCTGTAGGGGGCAGTGGATCAATGACTTTCATCATTGAGGTTTTTCTCTCTCCCACTTCCTTCTCTCTGAAATAAAAAAATATATATATATACATATTAAAAAATAAAGAAATGAGTGGACAGATGACCTGAAGGATGAGGAGGAGTTACTGACAGGGAAGAGGGGACAGCTTTGTGCGATTCTCAACTTGAATTTCAAGAAAATAGTAATAGTTGTCAGCACATCCTGAGTACTTAGCAGACACTGGGCACTGTGCTAAGCACTTTCCTTGTACTGTGTCGCGGTCACACCATTAGCTAGTGACGTCAGGAGTAGGACTCACCAAGGGGAAATATTCCAGCTGCCTAACAAAATTTAGGTGACACTTATTTTTATGTCTGAAAATTTATATGACAAACTAGAGGCCTGGTGCACGGATTCGTGCACTGGTGGGGTCCCTCGGCCTGGCCTGCACCCTCTTGCAATTCAGGCCCCCTTGGGGGATGTTAGAGAGCTGGTTTCAGTCCAATCCCTGCAGGCCCGATCCAGGCAGGAGGGAGCCAGATCCTGTGCATTGAGCATCTGCCCCCTGGTGGTCAGTGCCTGTCATAACGACCTGTCGACTGGTCATTTGGTTGTTTGGTTGCTTAGGCTTTTATATGTATAGATAGTTAGAAAGATCAGTGTCCAAGGCAGCACACTAAGTGTGGAGAGGGGGGGATGTGGGACTATACCAGGGTGGCCGGCCCCTCTTCAAGGGAGGTTTGGCCTATTTAGGGAGACGTGGCCTAGAAAGGCATCTTAGTGGGGACCAATTCACATTACAGGAACACCGAGGAGCGACGGTCACTTTCACTTGCATCAGTCTGAGGCAGTGGTTCTCAACCTTCCTAATGCCGCGACCCTTCAATACAGTTCCTCATGTTGTGGTGACCCCAACCATAAAATTATTTTTGTTGCTACTTCATAACTGTAATTTTGCTACTGTTATGAATCGTAATGTAAATATCTGATATGCAGGATGTATTTTCATTGTTACAAATTGAACATAATTAAAGCATAGTGATTAATTACAAAACCAATATGTAATTATATATGTGTTTGCCGATGGTCTTAGGCGACCCCTGTGAAAGGGTCGTTCGACCCCCAAAGGGGTCGCGACCCACAGGTTGAGAACCTCTGGTCTAAGGGAAGGAGGATGGAGGTTTGAGAGAGACTTGAAAAGGGAAGGGGAGGACTTTCTAGTGAGGCAAGTTAGACTGTGCTCGGATGGGTAGGAGAAGAAGGGTTCTGGGGGCAGGTGCCAGTTTCCTTGGTGCAGAGAAGGGGACAGACTGGAAATAAGTGGAGAGCTAGGTCATACCTGGGTTAGAGGGGTTTGGATGGATCTTTCAACAAATAAGCAATGGAGGGAAATGAAAGACTTAACTATTTTTCTATTAGTAGTATATCCTCTTCATAAAAAAAAAGAATGTAAATGTCAAAAAGAAGAATAAATAATCTATGACCACAATCACTTCACATTTGAGTAAATATTCTTATAGAGGTTTTTCTTTGTGTGTGATGTACTTTTAAAAATGAGAGCATACTATATATTCTGTCTTTTTCATGTAACAGTATGTTGTAAGAATTGCCAGCAAGTATAAGCCTCTCCCTAGCTATGCCTAGCATAGAATAATAAAATCATAACAGTAATGCAACATCATTTCAATATGCCAAGGTTGCAGGTTTAAACCCTGGTCAGGGCACACACAAGAGCCAACCAAGTGAATGTGTAAATAGGTGGAACAGCAAATTGATGTTTCTCTCTCTCTCTCTCTCTCAAGTCAGTTTTTAAAAAAAATACATTTTTATTGATTTTAGAGAGGAAGGGAGAGAGATAGAAACATCAGCGATGAGAGAGAATCATTGATTGGCTGCCTCCTGCATGCCCCCTACTGGGGATCCAGCCTGCAACCCAGGCATGTGTCCTTGACCGGAATCGAACCCGGGACCCTTCAGTCCATAGGCTGACGCTCTATACACTGAGCCAAACCAGCTAGGGCTAAAGTCAGTTTTGTTTTGTTTTTTTCTTTTTTTATTATTAGTTAAGGTATTACAAATGTGTCCTCATCCCCCCCCATTAACCCCCAACCTCCCCCCCACACACAAACTCATGCTCCCATCCCCCTGTTGTCCTTGTCCATTGGTTTGCTAAAGTCAGTTTTTAAGAAATCACAGTGATGTAGTGGAACTTGCTGAGCACCGCTGCCCTATGAAGTAGGTGTTAGTACTATTCCCATTTTACAGGTGATGACTGTGAGGCACAGAGAGGCTGAGTAAGTAGCCCAAGGTCCCCCATCCTGTAAGTGATGTAACTTGGATTGGAACCCTGGCCGTCTGCCTTGGTCTCCAGCTGCACTGTTCAGTATGGTAGCCACCAACCACATGTGGCTGTTTACATTTAAGTTAATTTAAATTAAATAAACTTTAAAAATCAATTCCTCAGTCAAACTAACCACATGTCAAGTGCTCAACAGCCACCTGTGGCTAGTGGCTCCTGTCTGAGACAGCACAGATACAGATGTTGCCATCACTGCACAAAGTTCCACCCGGCGGCACTGCCAGCCGTGGTCGGCAAACTGCGGCTCGCGAGCCACATGCGGCTCTTTGGCCCCTTGAGTGTGGCTCTTCCTAAGCCTTAGGAGTACCTTAATTAAGTTAATAACAGTGTACCTACCTATATAGTTTAAGTTTAAAAAATTTGGCTCTCAAAAGAAATTTCAGTTGTACTGTTGATACTTGGCTCTGTTGACTAATGAGTTTGCCGACCACTGGTATAGATAGAGTCTTGCTCTTAACCAGTCACCGGATGCTCCGTAACCAGTCCTGCAACACCTTGTTAAATGGTTCCGTAGACTTCCACAATATGAATGCACTGTAACTTTGTTCCTCCTTTTAAGCATGTAAGATTCTTTCATTATGAAAAGTCACAGAGCTAAATCATCCTAAGCCCCATAATTATTCCGTCAAATGAAATTGCTGGGCTCAGAAAGGTTTTTGGGGTTTTTTTGGAGCAGAGAAGTGATGTAACAAAATCACTGTTTTGAAGAAATAATGCTGGCAGCCATCGGGGAGGATAGAGTGGGCAAGGGAGACCTTGGGGTCCAAGAAACAGGGGTGAGGAATGGTGACAGCCACTCCCTACAAACCTGCTCTCCGTTAATCCTCACACAGCTAAGGGGTGGTCAGCATCATCCCCATTGCCCCGAGGAGGAGGTGGGAGCACGGAGAGTCAGGAGCATGCCCAGGCTCAGTTGGTGGAAGGCAGGGGACGCCATTGTCTTGCTGTCTATCTTCCGCTCCTAAATTCTGTGGCGGGAATTCATGTGTGAGACCATGAAGGACTGAAATAAGGAAGCACAAGTGGAAAGAAGGCTCAGTTTGGAGAGCTGTACCTGCTATAATAATTTCTTACAGGGCATGCTTTGCAGTTCACAAAGCCCTGTTAGACCTGCTCTCCTGTTTTTGAGGGAAGTACTGACAACATGCAGCAGGAGTGAGGGTTCCGTGACCATCCTCCAGGGTACAGCTAAGTGACTGGCTAACCCAGGAGGCAAGGAACTATAGGCACAAGCCAAACCCTGTTTGTGGGTAGTTCTCGAGCTTTAACATTAAATTTTAAAGGGTGGGAGAAAAATCAAAAGATTGATATTTGGTGACGTGAAATTATATGAAATTCAGATTTTGGTATTTCCCATAAATAAGGTTTTTGGGGACACAGCTACAGCCTTTTGTTTACATGCGGGCTGCGCTGCTTTCTTGCTACAGTGCAGTCTGCAAAGCCCAGAATACTTACTGTCTGGCCCCTTCAGAAAAGGGAGTGCTGAGCTCTGGGTTAAGAGACCCACACCATTGGCCAGGGATTGGGAACTGAGGGTGAGGTGTTACACAGAAAGGCCGATGGAAAAGATAGATAGATAGATAGATAGATAGATAGATAGATAGATAGATAGATATAAAGGCCGATGGAAAAGATATATATATATATATATATATATATATATATATATATATATATATATAAATATATATATTTTTTTTAGTGAATCTTAGTGTCCAGAGAAAAGCAAAAGTTGAGGAAGCTGAGGCTATTTTTATATCAGAAAGGATGTGAGTTTATGAGGTAGGGCTGGCTGTGGGTTTCCCCCCAGAGAACTTTGGCTAAACTTTTTTTTATTTCTTTAAGTGGAAGACAGAAGCAGCATACCATTTCTGCCTTGTGGCATTCTCTCTTCTAACAATCCATGGTGCTTTTCTCTGGAGCTGTGTCAAAAAAGACCTGATTTTTGGTCTTGGGTATGAGAGTGATAATCAGATCTCACAAGTAGCTTTGCTTTTGGATGGTGACCCAGTTATGAAAAGACATGGTAAACATTTGCCTTTACTTTTCCCTCTCCCTTTCCCAAAAGAACAAAGTTAAGGTAAGTATTAAAGGAATGATAAAAAGGAAATTCTGAATGCTCCTTTGTTATTTTGAACTGAGGTGAGCTGAGAAGTGGTATGAAAATGAAAGTGCTCCCTGACAAGGAGTGTTTTGAGTTTCAGAACAATCGGCCACATTTATTTCTCATTGACTTCTGCAGCAGGCAGAGGTGCCAGGCGGATCCAGTTCTTCATTGCAGTTCACTTAATTCTCAATTCCTTTCTTAAATTGAGGGCTGGTCTCATTCTAATTGCTGTTTTGCTTCCAATTAATGGGAGTTTATTAAAAAGAAGACACTGTATAAGTCATCAAGCTGATCATTATGCTTTTTTATATCTATTTTAGTAAGTACTAACTTAAATTCTCACCAATATGAGATATGGCAAGAAGCCTGTGTATGATTATAAAAACATTCTCCAGTCTAGACAATACACTATATTACACATCTGGATAAGATTCTTTTTCATTGAGTTTGTTGCAAGTAAGGACATTATGATACTTAGGATTGTATCAATTTGACAGTTTTGGAAAAAAAACGTATATTTTCATTCAAGAATTTAACCACTTGATCCCCCTCCCCCCAGGTTTACTGCATAAGAATTTATACAAATATTCAGTTAGACAAAATGTGGACACCTAATATTAATCTATCCTTTTCATAGATTTGCTCATTTTTGGTTTTCTACTTTAATAATAACATAACTATATCATAGAAGATTTAGAGAATAGAGAGAAAACACCAGTTAAATTACTTGAGTTTGCCCTGTTCTAACAACCATGCTCATATTGGTGAATTTCCTTCCGGTATTTTTTCCTAGGTACAGTAATGTTTTAGCATTGTTGTATTAACAGTATATTTATAGCTTTAAAATTTTATAATTTTGCATCTTGCTTTTCATTGTACATTTCAAAACTATTTTCCCGTAGTCCTTATTTTCCATGACCATACAATTAGTAATTGTGAGTTGGTTCTGCATAATTTATTTATCTTTCTTGTTGCTGCTTCCAGCTTTTTGCCATCCTAAATAACACAGGGATTTTGGATTATTTCCTCATTACAGATTTCCAGGAGTGGGATTACCAGATTAGGGTTTAGGGAAGGTCTTAACCCCTCTACTTCTTTAAAGAAAGTAAAGAGGGGATGTGGTTTCTGATCCACTGATCCACTAGGCCAGTGATGGCGAACCTTTTGAGCTCGGCGTGTCAGCATTTTGAAAAACCCTAACTTAACTCTGGTGCTGTGTCACATATAGAAATTTTTTTATATTTGCAACCATAGTAAAACAAAGACATATTTTTGATATTTATTTTATACATTTAAATGCCATTTAACAAAGAAAAATCAACCAAAAAAATGAGTTCGCGTGTCACATGTGTGTCATAGGTTTGCCATCACTGCACTAGCCATACAGTCTGATTCTCTTTACAATTGTAAAATCGTGAAGAGCCTCCTATTCTTCAGTATGGAACTGTGAAAAAGGATTTTTGCAACTTATTTCATAGTCACTAAAATCTTGTTTTATAGGATAAAAGAGAATAGGACTTTGTTGTTGCTTTTTGCATTGTTCCACATGATAGCTACTGCTGTCTTTTTAGTTTAGCCTTTCTGTCAAATAATACACACACCTCAGACCTACAAGTGTGTATTTCCCACTTAGGGCACACTTTGGCTCTCTCCACCTCTCTAGTTACTCAATCCTCACTAATTTCCATCACTATTTTATTTTTTTTTAATTAAACAGGAAAGAGCCAGACTTCTCAGAGGTCAGTCTGTTCAACAAGTGGGACCCCAGGGCCTTCTGTATGTTCAGCAAAGAGAGCTTGCAGTGACCTCCCCAAAGGATGGTAGGTTAGGAAGCAGTGAATTGGGCGTTATCCCAAAAGGCTACTGGATATTTTATTTTATTTCTTTTTTAAACAGGCTCCATCTCCATTCTGGGTTCTGATGATGCCACCACTTGTCACATTGTGGTCCTGAGGCACACAGGTATGGCGAGAGAGATAAGGAAATCATTATTTAAACCAACCAAGTTTGGGACCATTAATTTCTCGATTTGCGTGTCCTGGTGTCCTACTGGAAACCTGACTCCGCTCACCTTTTCTCTGGTCTGCATGGTACCTCCCTGTGCCCTGGTCAGAATGGGTTGGCTGGGCAGCACAGTTTCTGTTTTTCCTTACAGGATATTCAAGATGAGGTGGTCCGAATGGACAGGAATTGAGTTGGCTTGCTTACTGAGTTCTCATCGGGAGTAACATGAGTCATTTCACCCTTGTTCTCCAGGTAATGGGGCTACCTGCTTGACACATTGTGATGGAACTGACACCAAAGCTGAGGTCCCCTTGATCATGAACTCCGTAAAGTCCTTTTCCGACCACGCTCAATGTGGAAGGTGAGCTCCGCGCCACTGTTTTGTGATATCGGGAACTTTGCACCCTCGTGTAGAGGAAATCGCTGTGGAAGCTGTCACAGAAACACAGAATGTCACTACCACAGTGGCTGTCTTGTTCCCCTGGAGCGGGGCTTGGCACAGCATGGCCCCTTGTCCTAGTTGGTGAGTGAGTGAGTGGGTGATGGGAACAGGCAGGGAAACAATGCTGAATTGTCAATGGAAGGTTTGACCTTGCACCTGTAGTTTTATGTTCAGTAATGTATTTTTAGATGTTCACATATCAGACATTGCTTTGTTATACCCCAGATGTAGTATCCCTTCATTCATTTATTCCTTCAGCAATTCTTTACTGAATGCTCTGTATGAGCAAGAACTTGTTATAGGTGCCAAGGACATAGCAGTGGACAGAGTAGACCAAACCTGCCCCCATGGTGTTCATATTGTAAAGCAAGGAGGCATTCAATAAGCAAAGTAGGATGTTAAATGGTCACAGGACTGTGGAAAAAAACAAGGCAGAGAAGGAACGGGAGACAGCTGCGGGACTAGGGGGGTACAGTTTTAAATGTCAGCAAAACAGTGGTTTCACCAGGGATTCCTTACAAGAGCTGATGTCTGACCTGGCCATCCATCACAGCATCTAACCCTCTCACCGGTTACAGGAAGTGTAACCACCTCCTTTCCACAGTTGCTGACACACTCAGCTGACCCGGAGTCACACAGCTAGTTAGTGGTAGGCCCATGACAGTCTGACCTGTGCTCGCTCCCCTGTCCCCGCTTTCCTCTCTCATCAGGCCAACTTTGCAGACTTTGCTCTCATTTTACTTGAAGCCTAATGCAGCTATTGCAGGAACTAGTCCATTCATATATAAGTTCTTAGAATCCCAAAGATTTAAAAAAAGCCTCTGTCAGTTTCACTAGTACAACACAGATCAATTTTTAAATTTAATTCTACTTCTGCCTGTGTTGCTTCACTGGCGTGCAACCTATGCAGTCACAGAATGGACTTTTCATTGGGCCATGGATTACTTAGCTGGATCTGGCCACAGGCCCAACTCCGTGATTCTCGCAACGCGGTTGTGAGATATCCCTGGTCTGTTCATGGAACTGATTTGGTCACTCTGGAAGGTTTGCTGCACCCTGTGGCCCAGTGTCGAGCAAAGCCATGGTGACCTCTGCTCCTCTTACTTTAAATGTTCATTTTGAGACCGCTTGATGCTTGGCCCTGTGCTGGTTTCTCAGAGATTCCAGTTCATTCCTCACGTCTATGTGAGTAACAGCTGCACTTTTTTTTTTTTTTAGTATATTTTTATTTATTTCAGAGAGAAGAGAGATAGAAACATCAGTGATGGGAGAGAATCATTGATTGGCTGCCTCCTGAATGCCCCCCACTGGGGATTGAGCCAGCAACTCAGGCATATGCCCTTAACCGGAATTGAACCTGGGACCCTTCAGTCCACAAGCTGATGCTCTATCCACCGAACCAAACCAGCTAGGGCCACAACTGCACTTTCCAAAGCACTTGTGCCCAGGTTGTTTTAGGCCAGTGATGGCGAACCTTTTGAGTTCGGCGTGTCAGCATTTTGAAAAACCCTAACTTAACTCTGGTGCCGTGTCACATATAGAAATTGTTTGATATTTGCAACCATAGTAAAACAAAGATTTATATTTTTGATATTTATTTTATATATTTAAATGCCATTTAACAAAGAAAAATCAACCAAAAAAATGAGTTTGCGTGTCACCTCTGACACGTGTGTCATAGGTTCGCCATCACTGTTTTAGGCTGTGCACAGGTAGTTAGCAGACAAGTGGGAAACACAGGCTAAACACAGTTTATTTTTTTCCACCTGTTGGACTTCTTAGGGCTTTTCTTTGCTAGTGTGAACTATGATTCCTAGGGAGGGGTTACACTGGGCAAGATTTCCCCAAATTATTTAACTCCAAGAACACGTTTTTCTGTCTCATGCAGCTAACGTTCAGGGGGACACAGTGGATAATAAGCATGTGCTGTAGACAGAGACGCAGTTTTCCTCTCTGGGATGGAGATGATCATTCCTGTCTTTCCAGGAGAGGTGGGCATTAGGGGAGACGGCAGTGTGGAAGGTCCACTGCAGTCCCTCCACAAAACGGGCTATACAGCATAAGCTGTCTTCCCTGCCCACTCCTCCACCCAGTTCCTCTTTGGCGGAGACATTGAAGAGGTTTTCAGAGGTATCCTGCTTTGGGTGGGTAAACATTGTGTAGAGGCATATTTTTCCTGAGCAGAGTTCCTCACCCTCTGCCTCGAGAGGCTCATATTTGTGGTAAGACAGAAACACGCTCAGCCATCAGGGTTCCTGGGCAGGATCCCCAGAAGCTTGCCTGGCCTTGGCAGCCTCCCCATGTACCCTAGGGAGCCACACAGGTCTCCTGTGTGCAGGAAGGCGCAAGCAGGGCCTAGAAGCGCTCTGTAGAGCGAGGACTGCTGAAGCTGAGAAGCACCATGCAAAGCAAACCAGTGCACAGTCGCTGCCTTGTGCTGGCCTCTGACCACCATCCCATCTCTTTGCCAGGCTGGAAGTGCACCTCGTGGGCGGCTTCAGTGACGATAGGCAGTTGTCACAAAAACTTACTCATCAACTTCTTAGTAAGTTCCCTGTTTCCCCCCCAAATTGGATAAAAATTTGTACCTATTATTGCTTGGCTAAGAGTCCCAGTGAGGATACAAGAGGGGCACACCTTCCTGGAGTGACATAAACTGCTCAGCTTGGAATCTTGACATTAAGACTGAACAGCATACAGCTACATTTTCAGGGGCTAATGGGATGGGACAAGATTTTTTTTAAAGACAGCAGTTGACATACTCTGAATTTTGTAAAAACAGAACCACCCTCCAGGAAGAAATGTCCGTTTTAATGTGTAGAAAATGAGAACACTGATCATACCATATTTTCCCTACTCAGTGAGCAAGTATTTTTTTCAAAAACACATGTTCTGTGTTAACCATGAGGCAGTGAGGTAACAAATTGACACAGTACTGGAATATACGTTGGTACAACCTGTGGGGAAAGCCATTTGGCATCATGGTAAAGTCTTAAAAAGGCTCATATCCTTGGACCCCAGTAAGTCCCCTTCTGGAATCTATTCTAAGAAAATAATCTGAAATGTGCACAGAATTTATGTCTAAAGATAGATGGGCAGTAGAACATTTACAACAGGAAATTATCTAATGATCATTAGTAAAGGAATAATTATGTAGCTGTTAAATATAAAATGTCTACATGCTATGAGCTTAGCTGTGCATGGAAAAGTATGGAATACACCGCGTCTTAACAGATTATGGGCATTAAAATCCCATCTACTTCTACCATTAAAAACCCATTACTCCTTATACTCTCCTGTATTTCCAAATTTTTGCAGTGATCAATTTTTTTTATGACTATGATAACAGGAAAAATAGTTACTTAGGAAGAGTAAAAATCTTTAGAGTCATTTTATCCTCCCAAACCTCTCCAAATGAAGAGAGAAATGGAAAGCCTTGGTCACAGTTTCCTTTGGGCTTGAGGCTAGGAACATGGCTGTAACTTGGCAGGCCTGGTAGGCCAGGTGGTGGCTGAAAGGGTAGTAGCACAGAGATGGCTCAGCTGGCTTTCGTCCCTCCGTCCCTTTCTTGACTTGCTCAGGATATGTTCTGCTAATTAAAGGAACTTCTTTGACACCCAGTTTTACAATTCTAATTGTAGGTGAATTTGACAGACAAGACGACGACATTCACTTAGTGACATTGTGTGTGACAGGTAGGTTCTGCCGTCCTTCCCAAAATAAAGTTGTAGATTTCAGGGACGTTTCGCCCTCCCCTTCAAGCAGGACCTAGCGTCAGTACCTCAGTCATAGAAGACAATTTGCCGATGCTTTGCTGACTTTTATTCGGGCTTTCCCCATCTGCTGGTCCTGCCCAGTGTCCAAAGCCTGTGCGTCTTCAGTTGAGAGGCTGACCCGCTTCAGTGTCACTCATCTTTCCTTCCCTGGATTTTCAGAAGCCTGTCTGTACTCCTGGGCAGGAGAAGGGGCCACACCCCAGGTGGAAGCTGCCACCTTGTGTGAGACTGCTGAGCATGTAGATGGCTGGGAGCCCCTACCTCTGGAGGTGGCCGTTTGTTCACTATAAACTCGAGTGCTCTGGGACTCAGCAAGGAAACAGGAAAACCATCCCTTTCATGGTCTGTTTTTCCCCCCCTTTAGCAGTGGGGGCTCCTTCTTGGCCGCTATTTTACAAAATGAAAGCAGTTGGATAGTATTTCTTAAAAATTGGATCTTAAAATTTTTTTTGTTTGTTTGATAGAATTAAATGACCGGGAAGAAAATGAAAACCACTTTCCAATCATTTATGGCATTGGTGAGTAGTGTTTGAGAGTTGGAAATTGGCCACATGTTGACAAGGCAGGCTCCAGTGATAGGAGCTAGTGAGCTCACTGATGTCAGCATGTCACAGCCTTAGTTCTGCTGTGCTTGCTGGGGACCCTGGGCAAGTAGCTTATCTTCTCTAAGCATTATCTTTGAAAGAGAGAAAATGTCCTCATCCAGACGGGGAGGAGAGCCAGGAGCACCTATACAGCATGGCCCGCGCCACCAGCAATGGGAGTGTTAGTGGCGCTCTTCTCTCCCGAGGTGGCCAGCTGTGCTTTTCTCCAGCCAGGGCTGCAGCAGCTGGAGTGGAGCATAATAATTTTCTTATATGTAGGGAATCAAGGGAGGTTTTGATTGAGAAGGAAAGTAAAACTATCAGATTAGAGAAAATCCAGAAGCTTCCACCCTTTCGGGATGGTCTCTTAAGACTCCAGAACAGTAGTTCTCAACCTTCCTGATGCCGCGACCCTTTAATACAGTTCCTCATGTTGTGGTGACCCCCAACCATAAAATTATTTTTGTTGCTACTTCATAACTGTAATTTTGCTGCTGTTATGAATCGTAATGTAAATATCTGATATGCAGGATGTATTTTCATTGTTATAAATTGAACATAATTAAAGCATAGTGATGAATCACAAAAACAATATGTAATTATATATGTGTTTTCCGATGGTCTTAGGTGACCCCTGTGAAAGGGTCGTTCGACCCCCAAAGGGGTCGTGACCCACAGGTTGAGAACCACTGCTCCAGAGGTATAGGATGAAATGCAGAGGGCTTCTACCATGTCTGTAATTCTTCATGTATTTAGTTGTGGTGGTGGGTACACAGATGTGTTATTTTGTTTTCTGTAACATATATATATTTGAAATGCGTAGTAAAAATTAGAAAACAAACAAAAACACCAGACTTGGCCATGATCACAGGCCCTCTACCCCCAGCCATTTGCAGACACGTTTGGTCACAGGGCTGACCAGGAAGGCCTTGCCACGCACCTGCCTGAAGAGATTGAGTGTCTTCCTGTGGGGCCGGCTCTTGGTTTGGAACAGTCTTACAGAACCTAGTTCAGCTCAGGTCTCAGCCATTTTGAGTGAGGTACTTGGCTAAAAGATTGCATTGTCCCTTTCCAGGAAAGAGGAAGCTACAGGCATTTAAGAGTAATTTTGTTCAGTTTTCATTCTATTCTGTATTTGAGAGACTGATCCATATTCTATTATGTATGGTGGGAGAACTGTAGGCCTGTGCAAACTTCCCATGTTTGTCTTTCGTCAACTCAGTCATCCTGTTGTCCCTCACAGCTGTCAACGTTAAAACTGCAGAGATCTACAGAGCCTCCTTCCAAGATCGCGGTCCGGAGGAGGAGCTGCGTGCTGCACGAGCTTTAACGGGAGGACCAGTGAGTTTGGAATCATCTTTGTGTTAAGGGTTAAGGGAAAAAAAGGGCATCAAGCTCCAAAGCCTTATAGACCTCAGACATGAAAAGTTCACGTCAGCTTCTTTAAAGCTGTTGAGTTAATCAGGGGCCTTCTCTCTCTCTCTCTCTCTCTCTCTCTCTCTCTCTCTCTCTCTCTCGCTCTTTCTCTCTCTGTGTGTGGGCTTTTAGGTTATAAGCTCAAGACCCCAATTAATCAGAAGACCAATCAAATCAATTTAAAAGTCTGATTGCCTTAGGGTGCTTTTTAATTAAATAACATTTTTAAATGATCGTTTTATTTTATATTTATTATTATTTTTAATCCTCACCCGAGGATATTTTTCTATTGATTTTTAGAGAGAGTGGAAGGGAGGGGGAAGAGACAGAGAAAGAGAAACATTGATGTGAGAGAGACACATTGATTGGTGGCCTCCCACACACACCCCGACCAGGGCCAGGATGGAGCCTGCAACCAAGGTACAGTACATGCCCTTGACCGGAATCGAACCCGGAACCCTTCAGTCCACGGGCAGACGCTCTATCCATTGAACCAAATCAGCTAGGGCTAAATAACATTTTTTAAATATGTGTGTTTTGTTGTTATTGATTTCAGAGAGGAAAGGAGAGGGAGAGAGAGAGACAGAAACATCAATGATGATAAGAGAGAATCATCTATGGACTGCCTCTTGCACATCTCCTGCAGTGGTCGGCAAACTCATTAGTCAACAGAGACAAATATCAACAGTACAACGATTGAAATTTTTTTTGAGAGCCAAATTTTTTAAACTTAAACTATATAGGTAGGTACATTCAACTTTAAATTCACAGTTTTTGTCTTGTTTTTCTTTGCTGCTTCTTTGTAGCCATGTCAAACAGGGCACCTAAAAAAATGTTTCATTTTATAATAATAAAGCCAACACAAAAGAATTACAGTTCTTAAGTTGATGACAAAAATACCTGTAGGATTTGCAGCTGGTTGGAAAAATACAGGTAACTTTATGCTTCGAGTAGGTACTTTTGTCACCTGCGCACGATTTGTGGACGTGACTAGCACTAACCACTGCACAGTGAGGCTGCTGACTGACTGGCTCACTCAACTCGTGCATGAATCGCGCGCGTCTCCCCTGTGCTGTGTATCCTGCAGCCCGCGTGCGCCCACGTCTCCCTTCGCCCGACCGACCGACACCCCCCACTTCTTCTAACGCCACTTCTTCAAAATAGACTCGCCCAGGCTGAAAACCGACTTCTGTGCATGGACCACGAAGTTTCAATCGCACTGTACGTGCGTGTCCGCATGAGGTTTTTGTGGAAGAGCCACCACACTCAAGGGGCCAAAGAGCCGCATGTGGCTCGCGAGCCGTTTGCCGACCACTGTCCTACTGGAGATCGAGCCTGCAAGCCAGGCATGTGCCCTGACCGGGAACCGAACTGTTACGTCCTGTGTTGTGAGTTGACTCTCAACCACTGAGTCACACCGGCCAGGCTAAATAACATTTTAATTTTAAAAGTTAGAAAAATAAAAACCCGGCTGACATACCCCGCTTGAGGAATAGGTGAAAGAATCCTTTAAAAATGCGTGTAAAACTGTGAATAAAATAGAAATCACATTCAAAGCACCCAAAAGAGATCTGCTCATTCATGAAATGCTGACAGTTTCATTGGAAAATGTTTGGATTGCGAGTGACCTGTTTTGCATTTTTTTTAAAATATATTTTTATTGATCTCAGAGAAGAAAGGAGATGGAGAGAGAGATGGAAACATCAGTGATGAGAGAGAATCACGGATCAGCTGCCTCCTGCACACCCCCTACTGGGGATGGAGCCCGCAACCTGGCATGTGCCCTGACCGGGAATCGAACCGTGACCTCCTGGTTCATAGGTCGACACTCAACCACTGAGCCACGCCAGCCGGGCCCCTTTAACATTTTTAGAGTTCCTTTTATAATTTCTCAAGTAGTATCATAGCCTTGATTTAGCTAATATTCAGAATATATTTCAATCTCAATAACCAATATAGAACATTGGTGGGTAAACTGATAATGACCATTGACAAATTTGAGAATTTAGGGAGTTAGTTGATCATTTGGTAAATTAGCATTTTTACAAATTGTTTTTCCTTTCTTTTGATGGGGCAGCAGGCATTGTGTAAAGTTGCAAGGTAACAGTTACTTGGGTATAAATAACAGGGCAGTGTTTTATGTAGCCACGAGGAACATGGACTTCAGTCAGACACCTGGGTTTGAGGCCCAGCTCTGACACTTACTGGAAATGGGACTGTGGGCTATGTGCCCCATCTCTGAGCCTCAGGTTTTCAACCAAAATGGGGGAAATGCCATCTTCATGCAGGATTGTTGTCAAGACTTAACAAAATAATATTTGTTACCCACAAAGCGCAGTACCCGACAGTTGGAAGTATTCAGTAAGTTGCGCTCTTGTTATTAGGAGACATAATTGTAAAGAAGCTTATCATTCAGATAAATGCCTTAACTGCTAGACTACACTGGAGCATGCTTTAATGGTAGGGTGTGAAAAGCTGACAGCATTCCTTAAATCTATCCTTGCCATGTTCTTTTCAGATGGTTAGTATTTACGATGCAAAGACAGAACAACTTCGTATAGGACCGTATTCCTGGGTGCCATTTCCACATGTGGATTTCTGGTTGCAGCAAGATGATAAGCAAATACTAGAGGTGAGAATTTACAAGTTGGGCAAATCTTAACTCTCTGGGCCCTGGTTCCTCATCTGTAAGAAAGAAAAGGGTTTAGACTAAATAATAGCTGCTTTCCCTTCATTGGGTAGTATTTATTTTTAGGATGCCACTGGCAGACCCCACTTAACTTTTGTATCAGTGGAGATAAGTAATGTCCTGGGTAGACACTTGCATAGGTGAAGTAGTAAGCAGCCAACTGCTCTTTTCTCATGAACCCAGTACACCTGCTCTTACGTATTTTACAGTTTACACGGGTTTATAGAGTGATCTGAGAACATCCTGATTAATGTTTAAGGAACACAAGGATGTTTGTTATCTTTATCAAAGCAGGGCACAGAGCGAGGTTATTCTCTCATGCCTCATATCTTGTTTTTCCAGAACCTTTCCACTTCACCTCTGGCTGAGCCCCCCCACTTTGTGGAACATATTAGAACCACCTTGATGTTTTTAAAAAAATACCCATCTCCAACAAATACACTATTTCCTGGAAATAAAGCTCTACTCTACAAAAAAAATGAAGATGGCTTATGGGAAAAGGTCCCTTCTCCAAGAAGCTAAAATAGGAATTACCAAGGAAAGCAACTTTTTGGCATGACAGAGACCATTGGTGGGGGTTGGTCAGAATATGAATTTGAAACCTACATCCGTTGAGTCTTAGTGTCTTTCAAATGACTTTCAAAATAAAATCTTATTTTGGCAAAGGCATTTGTTACTTTTTGCTTTGCTAAAAAGTTGACATCCAGCTGTTCCTTTTTGGTTAGTGACAAGGGGCAGAGAAGAAGCCACCTGCTCACTGTTCTATGACAGTTATTTCAGTTACTTAGGTAATCCTAATTCTACCAAATTAGTGAATAAAGGGAAATTTATAATTGAGTCTGCTTTAAAAACAATATTTAAAATGCAATAAAGTTCAGTCAGAATTTATACATCTCACTGAGGGTGGTGGTTTTCTTGGCCCCAAAATATTTTAGAAGCATCAAATCCAAAACTGATATAAATGTACTTCTAGATGAATGAGATGGAAGGTTCAGAAGGACAAGTAGGATTTGATCTCACTGTCCTGCATTATAATTATCTCTAAAATAGATAATTTCCCATGAGAATAAATTTAATCTGAGTGTTACACAAAACCACTGATAAATCTGTTCTTTTAGGTATTAGGTCATTAAAATGCCCAAATTGTGATTATTATGCAAGTTACATTTTTCAGAAATCTTTATTTTTCTGAAGTTTCTGTCTATCCAAGAGGAAGTCACTATGCTTTATTGATAGTAAGATTTATGAACCGAACTCACTGGGAACAATTTCAAGAACCTTTATTGAAACCAACATTCAAATAGTATCTCAAGGGTGAAATTCTGTTTCAGCAAAACCAATTTAACAATTCCAAATATATATAAAAACATTTAAAAATTAATCTTGTTAAAGGTGATAATTTCCCCTTCCCCCATTTTATCTGCTATACTTCATTGCACCAAATAAACAGGGAAGACTTTGTTTAATCATCTGCACACACACAAAAAAGATAAAGGAAAATTGCATTTTAACAAATGCCAGATGTCAGAAATCACATCAAATCAGAGTGTAATTATAGGCTTACTGTGGTGTAACTAAGGCTTCCAATACTACAGTCCACAAACCCAGTGTAAATTCCCACCGTCTCAAGGTCTCTCAAGCCTGACTGCTGGACTGGAAGGCACAGGCCATTGCCTATGGTGAGTGAAGGGGTGCCGTCCTCTGGAAAAGTAGACATGGGCAGTCATGGAAGGGCTAACCAGTTATGTCAGCAGTAGTCTGGCTTGGTCAGCCTGAGAAAGCTTACTTCTCTCTTATTTGTGTGTTGGGCCTAAGGGGGGAGCTGCTAGTGGAACAAAGCTATGGAAGCTCCTATGTGAAGCAGGTCAAAAGTATACTTATTTTAGAATTTAAATTTAATTGGGTGCTACACAGCATGTTAAATATTAGCCTTTTAGGAGTAGCATCTATTAGGTTTTCAGATATTAAACATAGAAATGAGCACAGTCTGTTCTCTTGTGCCAATTTAAAAGCTTTACCAATATTTAAAAATATACATATATATGGTCAAGAAGAGTCTTTACAGTTTCTCTTAATAGATGAGTCATTTAGTTAGTTTAGAAATAGTATATAAAGGGGGAAATGGATTTGTGGCAGAGGAAAGTCACAGACAGAAGCACTGCCCAGTCTAACTTGCTTGATAGCCTGCCACAGCTTGAGTGGACACAGTCCTTACTTATGTCTCCAGGGAAAGCAGCCGTTGGGGATGGCAAGAGGGGGCTTCTGACACTCTTATTTACAATTCCATTGAAACCCATTCTCTTTCAAGCCAACACGGTCCAGCTGTATACTGCAACCTGATCAAACTAAACACCAACTAAAATAGATGGCAAAGGAAGGTTGTCTGTCTCTCCTCTACAGTGGTACAGCAGAGAACCCGGAGAGTTCTAAAGAAAGCTGTCTTACCAGAAAGTTATGTGTAACTAATAATTTATGTTTACAAGATAAGAGCACATGTTTCAAGTGGCAGACACTTGACATTCTGAGTGTTCTTTGTGAATAAAAAGTGTTTACAGTAACTTGGGGGGAAGTTATTACTACAGTTGGATAGACAGAAACAACAGTTGTTCTCTGTACCCATTACATTAGACAAATCAGTTACCCTGATTTTTTTGCACATACGTGTGCAAAAAGCCAGTTAAAGCACAAATAACAGTAATTTCTCTTGTATTAGCATGTGGCACAGTTCACATTTTCAGTATAACTATCTTCCATGACACAATATTCAGTACAGTCTCAAACCAAACACTGAATTTTATCTTAAGTTTTCCGGTTCTTCTACCTGTGGGCGGTCATCTTCTGGGCCCTGGGCTCTGTTCTGGAAGGTTCCAGTCTGCTCGGCTTCCTGAGGGGCTGGAGCCCCAGGGTGTTGCTCAGGGCTGTTAGCCTCCAGGGCCTCTTGTTCCTGCCCACTGGACAGGTGCTCCATTTTTTCTAAGTCTTCAATGTGACTGACTGAGCTTGTCTCGCTTAGAGCATCTGAGCCTCTTAGGGACTTTTTAAAAGGCTTCTGGCCTAAAGAAAGATGGGATAAACAGCACTGAAAGTTCAATAAAGGATACTTCTGCAACAAAGCTATCTGTGCAACAAGAGATTGCTTTATCAATTCCAACCGTTCAGTGGAAATCCCCAGAATTACTGGTTTAGAAGCATTTAAGTAATGAGACAAGAAAAGAGTTGATAATGGACTAACATGCTCCCAAGGCTAGACTTTGGAGGCCACTCGTGAAAAGCTCAGGAGAGTAAACACCAGGTTAAACATGATGTCAGCTCTCAAGACCCTAACTTCCCCCTTGGGAGTGCTACAGAGGTATTCTTCCAAGGCTGAAGCCCAAGGCTACTGGAATGGTATTTAAAGGGGCAGCTGGGCCCTAACCGGTTTGGCTCAGTGGATAGAGCATCAGCCTGTGGACTGAAGGGTCCTAGGTTTGATTCCTACCAAGGGCACATGCCTGGGTTGCAGGCTTGATCCCCAGTAGGGGGCGTGCAGGAGGCAGCCAATCAATGATTCTCTCTCACCATTGATGTTTTCTATCTCCCTTTCTCTCTGAAATCAATAAAAATATATTAAAAATTAAAAACAAAAAAAGAGACAGCTGGTCTTAACTGAAGAGAAATGGAACTTTGGGTTAAAGACCATGGAAACAAAGGAGTGTAGGCAATACCAAATGGAAAATCATTAAATGATGCAAAAGTCTATTTTCCCAAGAGAAATGTAAACCATTTTCTTTTTTATTTTGAGAGAGGAAGGGGAAAGGAAAGAGAGACAGACACATCAATGTGAGAGTAGAATGTCAATCGGCTGCCTCCTGAACATGCCCCCTACTAGGCATCAAGCCTGCAACCAGGGCATGTGCCCTGACTGGGAATCGAACCAATAACCTTTTGGTGCACAGGACAATGCCCAACTGAGCCACACCAGCCAGGGCCAACCATTTTCTTTAATACTAATGAACTCAAACATCTATATATATAAAAGCCCAGTGACCGTTAGCGTGGAACGACCAGAACGACCGGTGGCTATGACGCATACTGTGGCAGCCAACCAGCCTGATCTGGGCCATGATCGGCCCCACCCCCGGCCAGCCCGGCCCCTGATCAGCCCCCAATATCCCAATTGGGGGCAGGGCCAGCTGCCAGCTGCCTAAGGCCCCTCCCCCCCGGCTGGCCCCCACCCCGATAGGCCCAACACCCCTAAATCACTGCCTGGCTCCCTGGTGCATGTACATTTAGTGCAAGCACAAGAAAATAATTATCAGTCCCTTCTGACCCAGACCAGAATCTCCCGAGGGCTCTGCTAATACTGCAGCCAAGGTGTGGAATTCTCCCTCCATTACCCGCTGCCCCAGGAGACCTTCCAAGTTAGCCAAAAAGGCGACCTCAGCATTAACGGGATGGTGGCCCTTTGCTGAGGAATGTAGAGAGGCTGGGTGGGGATTTTGTGAAATTGCAGTGCCTTGCAGATTAGGTGAGCTTTCAATCTTCCTTTAAATGGGGCGGTGAAGAGGACCTGCAGGCTGCCAGGAGCAACAGCGAAGGGTAGGCACATTCAAAAACAAAAACTTTTAAACAAACAGACATGAAGATCATATTGGGAAACTGAGGGTCGAGCCCCAGGAAGAACGCAAAAATCATTAAAGGGCCATCATCCATCTTGATATATGTTTGCAAACAACACATAAACAACTTCATCTCATGGCACGTGAAATGCAAAACAGTTCTGTTGTGGGTTTTCTTTTGGCCATCCTTAAAGTATAATTAGATCCAGCTGGGGGAAAGCTATAGCTTCCAGCATTAGACCCCTCGCCCCCAGCTGGCCCTGCCCCTGATCAGCCCCCATTTGGGCAGCCGGCCGGACCCCTCCCATGCACGAATTCATGCACCGGGCCTCTAGTGAAGATATACCTGGAAATCTGAGTTTAGTTCGAGTGCCTGAGGGGGTCTGAGGCGGTGTTACTCCTGTATCTTGTACTTTGTAGACATACGTGTGTTCTGTGGACTCCAGAGAGCCTGCCAGGGAAAGAAAGAGAGGGGTGGGTGGGTGGAAACTCCTGACACGGACTGCCTTGAGAGATGCTCCCATTCAGCCTTGTTCCCTACTGAGCTTCCTCCAGCCATGCAGCCTCACACAGACTAGTGGAGACTTGGGTACTCCTGAAACATGCCGGAACTGGAGAAAGCCACCTCACAGGTATGCTCAGGAGTCCCGGCCCTGCTGGAGTGTTTCATCCTTGTCTCTCCAGCTATCCTGTGTACACGTGAAGACAGCCAGCAGTGTGGCTGTCCTAAGCACGCCTGGAGAGCCAGGCCCAAGTGGGAAGCACCCTAACTTCCCCCTCCGAAGTGCTTTAGCAACAAGGAATGAATGCCTCTTTGCTAAAGGCTGAGGCATGGCAGGTTTTAAAAGTCAGATTATCTCTGGTTGTCATATCGCAGTGGAGTCATCATTTCCTGGGGAAGGTACACAGGAAGGGGCCCTGGTAGAACAGGAAAGGAGTCTTGTTGGATATCATCTCCCCCAAACCAGTTAATTCTTGCTGGTTGCCTAGTTTGAAATCAAATAGTCCAGTGCTACAGACCATGGTCTTCACTGGGCAAAGGCATTACTTTACTGGGCAAAACACTAATGA